ATATTTTCCTTTTTTTGGTTAATACTCATGTTTCTCTTTCTAATTTTTTTTTTTGAAAACTGTTTGCAAAATAAAGGCATTTATTATTATTATTATTATTATTATTATTATTATTATTATTATATGCTCAATGACAATTCCACACAGAAATGAGTGGGAACAGCAAGTTAACCAGATAAGGAAAGTCAAACACAGATGGCTCCAAGACCGAGGTAGATGTTGGAGCTGGTATCTTTGTGCCGAAGCTTAAAATTAAAAAATCTGTTAGCCTAGGAACCCTAACTCGATCTTCCACAGAGCTATATGCTATAGAACTGGGTGCCAGAATGATCGCAGGACGACAACTGAGGCACAGAACTATAATTATTTTTTCAGATAGTCAAGCCGCACTCAAAGCACTTGACTCCACCTACTCGACATCGAAATTAGTGTGGAATTGCAAAGAAGCTGTCTTTGGCATAGGGGAGGGAAATGAAGTCGGTCTCACATGGAGACTCCAGCACCTGAGCCCAGGAGGTAGAAGTTACTGGGGAAAATATAAATAGGTGTGAGCCACACTAGACCAAAGAGTCGCAGTGGAGGATCGTTATTGATGCACTCACAATAGCGAGATCTCAGAAGCCTCGAGTAGTGTTTTGTAAACAAAAGAGATCTAGCGATTTGTGTTTTAAGTATTGAGCATTATATGTTTTGGAGATATTATAAAAAAGGATCTTTCAAACAGAGCAGTGTGACGAGCTGGTGGTGTGATTGTAGCTTTAGACCTTATGTAATATCGTAATTTTATTATATAAATTTGAAGTGTTCGTGGTCACAACCTTATGATAAAAGCATGCACTATGCAGTTCTGTCGTCTATCTTTCATATTTAACCAGTTTGTTTCGACAAAGTTATGTGAAATACTCTGAGTGTGTCGTATGCACGAGCTTTGAATATTTTGTAGCCTTTTTGCGTCACTGTTATCTATACAGTTGTTGTAAAGAATATCCCAGAAATTAAAATGTGATAGTTCAAGAGCATATATCAATAAAATTTTGGTATTTCTTTATGGGGCTCAGGTACGCTTTGTTAATCCGATTTTTGAACTGTCTGAGTTCAGTAGACCTGGATAAAGCCTCCTCAGGCTCTCGATACCTTAAGCACGGAGAAGCGATCGTGAGGGCCGGTTCTGGATGTACAAAGTTCATCATTCTTAGGACTCATCACGTGGCGGCATCATGACGGAGTGCTCTGATGAGCAAGGCCTGCTAATATAGCGGTATATTAGAGCCAGTTCGCCGACGGCCCGGATCCGGACACTGTCCGTTAGAGAAGAGTAATCGATCTGTCGGACAGGCCTCTACTGAACACCATGGATGGTGGTCCATTAACATAAATTCTACATATAATGTTGCAAGTGCCTGCGATGGTACGATAAAAAATATTCTTGTTCAAACCCATCACACAAGGGATTATCGGTTTCAGATATCGACTCGTGCGGTCTTTCCTTTCCTGGTCAAAAACCACAACTTTATTCCCTCGATTTACGAATAACTGTCATTACACATTTTGCCAAGACCCAATATATCATCTTAATGTCATGGCATTACCTGCCAAAGAAAGCACGAGCCAGTTTTAACCGAAAATTGATTTCCAAAGTGAGACTTAAGGGTATAATTTCGGCCAAAAGAAAAAGAAACGTGATATTCGCCGACCAAGATGGATCAAGAAATTGGCTATAAAACGTGATGATGGTGATAAGTACGGTGATTTTATGTCGATGGATATAATAGCTGCCCATTATCTGTTATTACCGATTTCTGAAACGTTAAAATTTTCTTACGATTTTTCGGTTGACTTGACACCCGAATATTTACTTTGCTCGTCATGCTAATGAGGACTAGGTTTTTGTCTCTTTAGACCAAGCGTATTATACGTAAGCGCTCCCAAAATGAAGTCTAACTAAAAATTAGCTGATAAAATTTAATGAAACTATGATCATTTTTCGGCATAGGCTCATTTAAACATAATTTTGGTATAGGGATTTATTTTTCTGTAAAATATACTAAGTGACATATAAATCCGAACACCCAGTTTAAATGGTTTTATTTTAATAAAATTTTGTATAAGTACTTAATGAAGCATAATAAGTAAATGATAAAAATTTCAAAATGATTGCACTGCAAGCCCTTTGACCTTTAATAATGTGTGGATGCACCCTGATGTGCTACGCATTCTCCAACACGCCTAGGCATGCTTCTGATCAGGTAGTCAATGTCCTCCTGTGGTATCTCATTCCAGGCAACCACTAACTCCTCTCGAAGTGCTTCTAGAGTCTGAGGAGGACGTTGCAAATTGAGCAATCTCCTACCCATCATATCCCACACGTGCTCAATTGGGGATAAGTCGGGAGATGGTAACAATGTGACATCATTATGTTGAAAGAAGTCTATTGTGACTCTTGCAACATGTGGTCGGGCATTATCTTGTTGGAAAGTTGGATCTGCCAGGGTGTCAAGGTAGGGTAAAAGATGGGGTTCTAGAACTTCGTGGATATAACGCTGCGCGTTCATGTTACCTCTGATGCAGATTAAAGGTGACCTGGAACCAAAAGCTATAGCACCCCAAACCATAACTCCAACAGTGTGATGAACATGTCTTTCAACAAAAAACTGTGGATTCCTCCTTTCACCACGTCGCCTTCTAACCCTGGCACGACCATCGTGCATGCCTAAACAAAATCGAGACTCGTCACTAAAGACAATACTGTTCCATTCCTGATCCCAGAGTGACCGTTGTCTGCACCACTCAAGGCGATTACGTCGGTGTTCTCGAGTTAAAGGGAGGACCCAGTGTGGCCGGTATGAAAACAAGCCAAAACTTCTCATTCGTCGGTAAACACTTCGCACGCCAATAGGTCTTCCGTGTTGTGCAAACCATTCATTTGCAATGGACCTGGTAGTGGAGAAACGGTCCCTTAAGGCCAATAATCTTAGGCGGCGATCTTCACGGTCTGTTGTTCTACGGCGGCGTCCAGTGCCCCTTGCTCTTTGCGTACGGCCTTCTCGAAGCCATGCCTGACAACACCTAACCACAGTGTCTACACTTCTTTGCACTCTAACTGCGATTGCCCGAAAAGAAAGTCTAGCTTCCCGAAGTCCACTATACGGTCCCTATCAAACTCACTAAGTTGACGAAATCGTACAGGTCTCCGTACTCTAGGCATCGTAACCGATCGTAAAGGATGTCAAGAACCAAAATCCCCCAACGATGATTCTTTACTGCGGCTGAAATATTCATTTTTAGAGCGTTAGTGAATTGAAAAAAAGCAGTATAAAAACCGGAATGTCCAACTGATAAGGCTGAACATTTTTTCACTTGTTATTTACAGTAAGATAAATACATTCACCAACTTTTATTAAAATAAAACCATTTAAACTGGGTGTTCGGATTTATATGTCACTTAGTATATGTATTTGTGCTTCAGGTATATTTTGATGTTAATGTGCCATATTTATTTCGTGTGAACCTAAGCTTTCTGAAACTGATTTCAGTTTTAACCGTTAAACGTTCTTCAGGAACTGTGCGAGAAAAATCTGTATACAAAATATTACCTCTTCCGTTTTCTAAATTTATAATAATCCAGAAAAATTGCACAACCTAACGTAAATTGCTTTTTATTATGCTTCAAGCTTTTAAATGAGTTAGGACTGCTCTCCAAATACCATGTTTTTAATTCCAAGGTAAAAACGTATATGGTTCCAGAAAGTTAAGGTCAAGGAAAGTCAAAATGGTCAGGGATATGCCTAGGACAAATCTTTAAAGTGGGCTTGGGCGCCCGCAGGAGGGCCAGAGGTACCGTGGGAATCCGATTGAACCTCATTTGCATACTTAGCATGATTTTGTCTACAATTTTGATGATTTAGGACCCCCTGGAAACATTTGCCATCCACCGCTCTCCAAAAGTTTTAGGGGCAGGTGACGTGTGATCGCCTCCCTGAAAAAAGTTACTGCTGACGCCCTTGAAAGTGGCTAAGAACGGCACCCTCTAACTCTTCGACACTTGAAATGTTCCTGTCAGTAAGTCGCGCTTCAAATTTGGGAACAAAAACTGGGGGCTATATCCGGGCTATATGATGTCGTTGGGCAAGATGGTGCCTTTGGACAATTTTCGTCTGCTTTTTTCCTGTATTTCATTCATAGCTTATACGAGGGATGTCTTTTAAGTTTTGCATATAGAAACATAGTAGGCCGCGCGGATCGAACGTCAGTACTGAATCTTAACCTCACTCTTTAGTAAACTTAAATTCAATGTTTCACAACAATATGTGCAGTGTTCTCACTACAGTGAATTTATAAGTGTCACCAAGTCATTACAACGCCACAATTTATTACAACTTTCAGAGACAATTATCGCAACAAGAATGCCTTGCAGAGTTATTGTCTGTTTTCGGCAACGAAGCGTCATATCAGTCGACAATTTCCCGTTGGTATGGAGAATTCAAACGTGGACGGGTGAGTCTTAGCGACGATCCCAGGGTGGGTGCACCAAAAACGGCAGTCACCCAGGAAAACGTCGATGCTGTGCGCAAACTCATCATTGAAGACAGACATGTGACATATCGCGAAATTGTGGCGTCCTTGAAGATCTCAAAGTCATCAATTCAAAAAATTTTACATGAAGAATTAGGAGTAAGAAAATTATTTTCTCTGTTGACTGAAGAGCAGAAACACAACGCTTTACCGTTTCAATTCCGGAAACTCAAAAAATGTGTAGAGCATTGTTAGTGGTGATGAATCGTCGATTTACTGTTATGAACCAGAAAATAAACGGCAGTCGGCTGTTTGGGTATTCCAAGGTGAAGAAAAGCCAACAAAAGTCATCCGTTCTCGAAGTGTTTCGAAAAAGATGGTCGCGACATTTGTGTCAAAAGCGGGTCATATTGCAACAATTTCTCTTAATGAGCAAAGAACTGTTACTGAGGATTGGTATACCACCATTTGTTTGTCAAAAGTCGTCACCGAGCTTAGAAAAATCAACCCCGAAAGAAGAATCATCCTCCACCAAGACAATGCAAGCTCGCACACAGCTCAAAAAACAATGCAGTATTTAACGGAAGAAAACGTGGAATTATTGTGCCATCCTCCATATAGTCCCGATCTAAGTCCTAACGATTTCTTTACTTTTCCGAAAATTAAAAACAGACTGCATGGTCAAAGGTTTCAGTCACCAGAAGAAGCAGTTGACGCATTCAAAAATGCCGTTTTGGATCTGCCAGTAAACGAGTGGAATAAGTGCTCCGAAAATTGGTTCAAGCGCATGCAGATGTTTGTGTATTAATCTTCGTGCAGAATACTTCGAAAAACAATAAAGTCATTTAGATAAATCACACAACTCTTCCGTAGTTACCATTCGTGTACTTAAAAATTTCGTCCATTACAAGTCTTTAAGGAATTCTAAAATAATTGAATACTAAAGGAAAACGTTGTTTATTTATTTAAGAAAATATTGACGCCACCACTGTTTGTTCAGCGAAAACAATACGATTTGGGTCTGTATAGAGAATTAGCAATCGGGATACGTACGGCCACTTTTTGCGGGTTTATTTATTGAAAAATTTTATACATATGCAGGAGACCATGTCAAAAAGGTGGTGATATATCAAACCACAACTGACCGCAGAAAAAGAATTGCGGTAGGCTTAGGTATAATATTTCATGGATGATACATCAAGTCGTCATGAGAAAATGCGCTACCAGTACGAAACCAAGAAGGACAGGATATCTTGAATACCCGTTACCCAAAATAATCGTATTTGCATCAAAATGCGAACTTGCCGAAAACAAAATATAAAGCTGGTTTTCTAAAGTGTGTCCCATCAGTTCGTTTTTTTAAGTTGGTATTATTTTGACAGTTGGTAACACTTCCATGCTCAACATATTGACAGATATATTGTCCCAAACATCCGATGTAAGCAATGGATCATTTTATTCTTGAACAAAGGTGGGAACTACTGAAAAACTATTTTCAAAGTAAGTACTGTGTTGAAAAAACTTTGCGAAAATTGAGAAGACTATTTGGTCGGAATGAAGCTCTGTCCGCGACTAGTAATGGGTGATTTTTTTGCTAGTATCTTTTTGGCAATACTGTTTTTGACAGATGACGCGTGAATCGTGTCTTGTGTCATTGTCAAACTTGTTCTGTTTGGTCTATAATTTAACCATGAATCGACTTACGAACGCTTGCAAATTATTGAATTTTACTATCAAAATTCATGCTCGGTTAAGAGAGTGCATCGAGCACTGCTTCCAATTTATGGGCAATTTGGTCGGCTTACTGAGGGAGCTATTCTGAAGCTTGTGACTAAATTTCGAACCCAGTTTACATTATTGGACATTAAACCACCAACACGCAAACGTAGAGTGAGGACTGAAGAAAATATTGCGGTTGTATCCGCCAGTGTTAGTGATGACCGTGAAATGTCGATTCGCCGCCGTTCGCAGCAATTGGACCTCTGTTACTCCACTACGTGGAAAATTTTGCGACAGGATTTGGGTGTAAAACCTTATAAGATACAGCTGGTGCAAGAATTGAAGCCACACGACCTCTCACAACGTTTCCTATTTGGTGAATGGACGCTGGCAAAGTTGGAGGAAGATCCACATTTTTATCGAAAAATTGTGATCAGCGATAAAGCTCATTTCTGGTTGAATGGGTACGTTAACAAACAAAATGGCCGCATCTGGAGTGAAGACCAGCCAGAAGCATTGCAAGAGCTACCAATGCATCCCGAAAAAATCACGGTTTGGTGTGGATTACGGGCCGGTGGCATCAGTACTCCTTCAAAGACGACAATGGTCGGAACGTAACTGTGAATGGCGAGCGCGACCGTGCGATGATAACAAACTTTTTTTTGCCCAAAATCGAAGAGCTGGACTTGGCTGACGTGTGGTTTCAACAAGACGGTGCCACATGCCACACCGCACACGAAACAATGACCCTATTGAGAGTCGAGTTCGGTGAACAGTTTATCTCACGTTTGGGCCCCGTCAATTGGCCGCCTAGATCGTGTGATTTAGCGCAGTTGGACTATTTCTTGTGGGGCCATGTTAAGGCTAATGTCTACAGGGATAAACCAGCAACGATTGACGCACTGGAAGCCAATATTGAAACATTTATTCGTGAGATACCGGTCGATATGTTGGAGAGAGTGTGCCAAAATTGGACCTTGCGCATGGGCCATCTAAAGCGGAGCCGCGGCCCACATTTACATGAAATAATCTTTAAACATTAAATTATATTGACCGTTCTATCGACTCAAATAAAGATTTAATCGTTTTTTCAAATTTTTTGTGTTTTTATTGAAAATCAAATCCTATACCTCCTAAAACCATGTTATAGGAAAATTTGTGAAAACGGTTCGTGAAACTGGCCTGCTTATGGATGATAGAAAGTAAGGGCGAGTTCGACCCGTACGTATAGCCGAAAAGATTTCTGGTGTTGCCCAGAGTGTTCGTGAAAACGCAAGAATGTAACAGAGCACAACAAGTGGCCATCAGTCGCACTTCTGATGTACGGAAAATATTGGGATTATTTCCTTACAAGGTGCAACTTGTGCAAGAGTTGGAAGAAAATGACCATCCGCTTCGATATCGTTTCTCTATGTGGGCTCTAAATCAATTGGAAACACACGTCAATTTTGGTCGTCAAATCGTCTTTTCGGACGAAGCCCATTTTCATCTGTGAGGTTACGTTAACAAGCAGAACTGTAGGATTTGGGGTTTTGAAAATCCACATGTCGTCATAAAAAAACCAATGCATCCAAAAAGAGTAACTGTTTGGTGTGGCTTTTGGAGTGATGGGATTATTGGTCCCTTCTTTCTTCAAGATGAACATGGTAACAGCGTGACGATAAACGGGGAACGCTTTAGAAACATGTTGATGAGTTTTTTGTGGCCACTATGCACAATCTCTTGTTCCAGCAGGATGGCACAACATGCCACACCAGCCGTGAAACAATCGATATTTTACACTCTAAGTTCGGTCATTGCGTTATCAGCCGTTTTGGAAACGTTCATTGGCCAGCCCCCAGCTGTGATTTGACGCCCATGGATTACTTCCTATGGGGGACCGCTGTTACACTAACGATCCTCAAACAAATGATGTTCGTAAGGAAAATATCCATCGAGCTATTGATGAAATAGACCCACAAACTATCGAGAATATGCTTCAAAATTGAGTTAAGAGGATGCCAGGCCAGCAGCGGCAGCCATTTAACTGAAATTGTTTTTCATAAATAGTCGAAGGTGTATTATTTTGAATAAAGTATCGAGCATTACATATTATTGAAGAGTTTAGTTTTAATACCAACTAAAAAAAGAAACCAACGGATGGCCCACCCAACATCCAAATAATATCTCAAAATTTCGGAATTTTTCGCGATTACAATTCATAAGAAGTAAAAATCAACAGCTTTAAGACCTCTTTACCATACCTAATTTGTAAGTCATATCTATATTGGAACGCCTTGCAAGATACAGCGTTAGGTAACGAAAAACTGGTATCATACAGACGAAATTGAGACCGTAATTTTTGCAGTCATTTGCGTCGAAAACAAAAACGATCACCATAAAGTATAAGTTTTCTATACGGCACCCAGTGGGTGTAAATGGTGTCAGTCGCATTTACAACAAAAATAAATTCGCAAAAAATGTAGTTCCATTACATACCGTGGGCTAGAAGTGACCATGTTTGTAAAGTTATCGCTTAATTATGATAATACATTGACACAGCGTGGTACCAAAGTGGTACTGTATGGGAATATATTTGTAAGTCGATGGTCTGCATATTTTAACCATCGATATGTTCACATTATTATTATATTCAGTTTTTCAATGTAACATTACGGTATATCACTATTAAGGTAAATTGCTATCCAGCAAAACCATTTAGCATGAATTAATCATTAACAGTTCAATAAATTATAATCATTCCGATAATTCTTAATGCATATTACAAAGCTGATGAATGAAGGCATGAGCACTATTATGTTTTTATGATTGCCACGCCCTCTTTATAAGTAAAAAGAAATGGTGGTGTCTTTCCTCCTTTTTTCTAATTAATTAACAAATAATTAAATCAGGACAAATAAAAACTGATGGTCTATGCAAAGCAGCTGTCTAGTAGCGTGCAAATTTCAAGTTTAGGCACTAGCTCAATAAAGCGGAGAGTAGGGGGGTCAACAGTCGCAGTGGCTCAAGGCGGATTTTGTCTAAGATTTATTTAGCATGATTGCTACAATTACATTCTTCTAAAAAACCAAACAATTACATAACATACAGACATTCAGAAAAAAAAAACAAAAATTGCATCTCTAAGAATTTTCATTGTCCATGAAATATTCCTTTAATTTTCTTTTAAATATCCTTAAATTTCAAGTAGACTTTATATCATAATTTAGTTTTTTAAATTCAAGTAATCCTTTCTGAAATATTGAATTGCTAGTTATAATGAGTGATTTTTTTGCTAGTATCTTTCTGGCAACACTGTTTTTGACAGATGATGCGTGAATCGTGTCTTTTGTCATTGTCAAACTTGTTTAGTTTGGTCTATAATTTAACCATGAATCGACTTACGAACGAACAACGCTTGCAAATTATTGAATTTCACTATCAAAATTCATGCTCGGTTAAGAGAGTGCATCGAGCACTGCTTCCAATTTATGGGCAATTTGGTCGGCCTACTAAGGGAGCTATTCGGAATCTTGTGACTAAATTTCGAACCCAGTTTACATTATTGGACATTAAACCACCAACACGCAGACGTAGAGTGAGGACTGAAGAAAATATTGCGGCTGTATCCGTGTTAGCGATGACCGTGAAATGTCGATTCGCCGTCGTCCGCAGCAATTGGGCCTCTGTTACTCCACTACGTGGAAAATTTTGAGACAGGATTTGGGTGTAAAACCTTATAAGATACAGATGGTGCAAGAATCGAAGCCAACCGACCTCCCAAAACGTTTCCCATTTGGTGAATGGGCGCTGGCAAAGTTGGAGGAAGATCCACATTTTTATCGAAAAATTGTGTTCAGCGACGAAGCTCATTTCTGATTGAATGGGTACGTTAACAAGCAAAATTGCCGCATCTGGAGTGAAGACCAGCCAGAAGCATTGCAAGAGCTACCAATGCATCCCGAAAAAATCACTGTTTGGTGTGGATTATGGGCCGGTGGCATCATCGGGCCGTACTTCTTAAAAGACGACAATGGCCGGAACGTAACTGTGAATGGCGAGCGCTACCGTGCGATGATAACAAACTTTTTTTTGCCCAAAATGGAAGAGCTGGACTTGGCTGACATGTGGTTTCAACAAGACGGTGCCACGTGCCACACTGCACACGAAACAATGGCCCTATTTAGAGGCGAGTTCGGTGAACAGTTTATCTCACGTTTGGGGCCCGTCAATTGGCCGCCTAGATCTTGTGATTTAACG